ACCTAATGTTGGGCTTGTGTCCCCTTCTATTGGTTTTAGACCAGTGATTGCTTTTTCCATGTCGGGGTTTGCATAGGTATTGATCCAATACGGAGCTATTATGGCAAGATATTAGATAGCTCGAGTACTTTAGCAAAGTGCTTGTACGTGGATCGGCACAGCCATGTACAAAATTGCCACCTGAGTTCTTCATAGAAGGATTCAGGGGCACGTGGTAAAACGTCTCAAGTCTACCCAGTGGATGAAAAAGACCACCGTGAAATAAGGCCGTCAAGGCAGGTGTTCACGTTAAGCACTTAGACATTCACAGAGAACACTCTGTGGTAAGTCTGGTATAAACAGAGTAAACTTAGAACATACCATGACAGGGAAGGAAAAATCGAAGTCGTAGAAAAACATCAGCCCACACCGAACAGATGATAAGACAAATCTCTAAAGCCGACCCAAAAAGAATCAACCAACAATGGACAATTCAATATGTATAATGTTATCTAAGCAAGCTATTTCGCCCAAATAGCCTTCACCAACTAAGTTAATGCGATATTATTCCTAGGAGTTTTTCCAAAAGTCTGAAAATCACTAAAATAATAATGATACCGAAGCCAGTAAAGAATATGAGAACAGCTTCGTCCACTGCTTTGTATTTGTGAAAGTATTTATAGGATAATATTAACGAATAACAATTGAATAAGTACTTAAAGCTTTCGAACAAAAAAGTTCGGTTCAGCAATCTTTCTACTTATATGTAGCATTCCCGGCTTTTGTCGGAGTTTTTCATAAAGGAGTTTTATAGAAAATAAACAGCCTCGTCTGCTAAGGATAAAGTGTAATACAAAGAAGTGTTTTAGGACCAACTGTTTACCTAACTTAAACATCGAGAACTATTTCAGTATCATTGAGATGCAGTTAAAAATCGGAGAATAAAGTTAAAGAGGAAACAAATCTCGTTTACACTTAGAATAGCTAGTTGTCTCTCAGTGATATTAAATAATGTGAATATTTCCGAATCTAATCATGTCACATACCCATGCATTTGCCTGAATAGACATTTAACTTGGCGCCAAAGTCATCCTGTATAAGACCGTGTTAAAGACAGTCTTGAAATATTGAACCGCAAGTAATATCACCATAGACCTTGTACATGGGTCATAATTTAAAATTCTCAAATTTTACTAAATAAAGGAGCCTGTTGGTAGATATTCATTTATTTGGGAAATCATTACAGTGTGGGTACACTCAAATTTTGTACGAAAACACTGAAATCCATATGAACAAATAGGGGAAAACAGACGGATTAGCAATAGGGGCTGTGGCACCTTCCATATGAATACAAACATTCGTATATCTGGGAACCTATTTAACCTATAAACTTGGATATTATGAAATATGAACCTAAGCGTATGAATTATATTTTCGTTCTTTTAAATTCAATTTAAAAATGTTCTTAATTTCAATTAACCTTCCAGAAAAATTAAATTCCTGACGACTATATTGCAAAATCACATTAACGGTTTTACTGTTTCGGTTATTTTCTTATGAAATCAATTTGTATTTAACATTTTAAATAGAAAAAAAGCTGAATGTGTAAATGACAACTTATTGGATAAACCATTAAATCTATCTCACTATAATTATATTTAAATGATTTTATTTTGCGTCGTTTTTTATCTAGAAAGATTTTCTAAATTGAATAATTGTTTTGTTCCATTTCAGATTGAAGTTCCGCAATATGAAAACTGCAAATATGCAAAGAAAATTCTTGTTGAAAATTGAATTGAATTGAACAGATGTGATTAAACTTTCTTGAACTACTTTGTGAATTGTAAGTGAATTCCAATAAATTATAATCGATTGTTGCTGTACGTACGCTCTAGCAACAGGCCATAGAATTAGTGGCAGCCACCAAGACTAACTACCACCAATGTAACTGCAACAGCAGCACCAATAGCAACAGCTTCGGTAATGGCATCAGCTTTAGCAACATTTAACAAACAACTGACTAACGGAGTATCGCAGAAATTCCACTATAAAATATTTATGTACAAGTGATTACATCACTTGTTTAATCCAACGTATAAATAAAACCCAACAGCAACAACAACTGCAACAATAATAAAAAAATGCAGCAATAACAATAGCAACAACAATAAAAAACAATAGAGGAAAAAAGAAAGAAAGAAACAAACAAACGTGTTATTGAAACAGCTGCTGCTCAAACTGCATACGAATACTTGTGCACAAACTACTTGCCACTTTATTCGCAACACACAATGAATATTATACTTGCAACATTTTCACATTCATACATACTTTTATGAATTGGTACTGTATATTGCCAGCAGTTGTTGTTATTATTGTTACTAAGCAATATTTTTGTTGCAATTATTGTTGATAGTAGTACAATGTTTGTTGTAAATTGTGAGACTGTGTATCTGTGCCACATTAGAGGTCTTATTTTATGACGCCAATTTTGCATCTCAATAAAATTTTATACTGTTAAATATTTTAGTGATGGTTTTAAAAAAGTTGTACATATATACAGTGTGCGTCACTTTAAAAATATGTAATACGATTTTTTTCCCTATTTAACCAATTACAGATTTTTTGTCCTAGAAATTTCAGAAGGTTTCAAAGAAACTTACTAAACATTTTAAATATTTTTGTCAATTTATTGCAAGGAAGGAGAGATTAAATATTCATTTAAAATCTACAGATTTGACTTTCTGATCACATATTTTGTTTAAAATGGTCAAAAACGAGATTTATTCAAACTTTAGGACCACTTATACTTTAGGGTAATAACTTTATTGGTCGGCAAATTACCATATCACTACCTTATAGTCAATACTGTCCTTATAATAAAAACCTTTTTATACCCTACACTCTCGAGAAAAGGGTATATATAAATCGAAGTGCTTTACGTGAACACTTGCCGTGTTGGCCTTATATCATGGTGGTACTTTTACAACCACAGGTTGAGCTTATTAGACGACTCACCACTGCTCCCTTGTACTTCGCTGGTGGCAATTTTTGAACATGATTCTGCTCGTCCATGTACAAGCACTTTGATCAAGTACTCGAGCTATCTAATCACTGACCATTGCTGACCCGTTGCTTCATTTCCGATTAAAAAAAAAATACTTCTGTTTACATCCGTTGAGTCGACAACAGCACCTAGAGACGTAATCAGTAGACCGAAATACCAAATCTATCATCCAAATCCGAAATCCATCAAATATGTAAAGTACTTTTTCTTACTTAGAGAGAACAAGCACACTGTGGTAAATCTGTTATGAACAGAGTAAACCCTGAACATACCCGGACAAGGGAGGAAAATTCAATGGTATCACTTGTATTAGATACCTTTCAACCATTACCATTCACGCCAGCACACTTCTCATTCATCCGACACACTTATAGCGAACAACATCCGACACACTCACTCTAGGTATATCTGTTGACTTCGGCAACAGCACCTAACTTATCCTGAATTATAGATATAACCGTGCATCAGTCTTTTAATCGACATTCTCTTCCCGCGAATTTGAGTTTAAACCACAGCCACTAAGTGGATCCCGAAGGAACCTCAAGCAATTGACCAGCCAGGACAAAGTGCAGGGGCAACTGCCCACCCTTAATACCAGATTATGTGGTTCTCTGATTCGACCTCATGTCAAATCATTTCAAGGAAAGGCATTGGTATCACCTCTTTTCCCTAGAATTTCAAAACATCAAGATCGGGTTTTCATCGGGTCCCCCGCTGGATATCTGTTGTCTCGGCAACAGCACCCAACTTATCCTGAATTATAGACTTAACCGTGTATCAATCTTTTAAACAACATTTGGGGTGTTGGGAATTTGGGATGCCATCACTTGCATCCCGAGGGGGCCTCTCCACTTACCGAGACAAGACAAAGTCCGAAACTCTGCATTGACGGTTGCCCTGGTACCAGTTTATAAGGCTCCCTGGTTCGATCACAGTTCAAATCATTACAAGAAGAGGCCGAGGATACATTTGACTCCATCAGTTTATAGTCCCGCCAGACTAGAGTTATTGGTAGCGCCTCTTTTCTCCCGGGTTACAATAACAACGAGATGGGAAGATTATCAAGGTAATATGCCCCGGGGGTGGGTGTGACAAATATAATTCGTTCTTCTATAACATTGAACCTTGAAACATTAAATTAAGCATGTAGTGCCCGGGGTAGTTGAGAAAACTGCGACTTTTTGGTACATTTTCGTTCTTTAAAGTACTTTTTGATTTTTCTATTATATTGAACCTAGAAACCTATAAAGGTGCATTTTTAGTACTTTTTCTTTCCTTAAACGGTACTTTTTGAGTTTTTATAATATTGCAGCCTAGAAACATAAAATTAAGAATGTATAGCGATGGGAACCTATAAAAGGGGACTTTTTGGTTTTTCAATTGATAATAATATTAAATATTCAGTGAATTGAACTTTGAATCAAATACATATGTATGTCGTGTCAGAGAGTACTGCAAAAATTATTAGCTGATTTGAACTGGTTATATCTTTTATAAAGAATCCTCACAACATAGCATACAGCTACATACATATTTATTTTATATACGAAAAAGATACAAATCAAACTTTCATTTTCATTAGAAGTATTGTGTAATAATTGTTTTGGCCAAAGGTAGTTGAGGAGGTGATGACGCTGGTGTCTTGGTGATGTCTTAAGCAGTGATGGTCACTTGCAATAAATGTGTTTGCTGTTTGTGTAGTTGTTGTATTGGTTCGACTACTTATTTATGCATGTGCATTTCAGGTGTTTTTTTAGGTGGTGGATAGAAGGGGTGGTGCCGGTGATTTCAGGTGGTGAGTTCGATTCAAACATGTTGGCCTTGTTGCAATGGCAACAGAATTTTACCTTTTTGGGGCGAAACAACAAACAAAGCAAAACAAATGGGAGTCGCAAAATAACAACAATAAGACACAATCGCCGTGCAGACAAGAACAACAACAACAACAGCATTTTTAAAAAAGTCACAACAAATATTACGAAAAATAAAAAAACAATACTTAAAAAATGCACAAGTGCCAGTTGGAAACTTGGCAAATCTATAAAAGTATCTGTTCGCCTAAAAAACGAGCTCAGTTGCGAACGGTACTTTGAAAAAAGCGTATTTATGGCAATAAACTTAACGTAACGTTTGCAAAAAAAAAAAAATATTTCGTCTAAACTAAAAAAAAATATATATAAAAAATTTAAGGGTTCAAAATCAAAAAACAACTTTAAAAACATATGGTTTTAATGGTTTGAAGAGAAAACTAATAACAAAAAAAATTAACAAATTCAAATTGCAGTGAAAAATTATAAACTGACTATAAAGATTTATCTTTTACTTTTCTTAGTTTTTTTTTCTAACAATAAAGTTTAAAATTTCTTCAAGTTTTTCCCTTTATTTAAAGAGCTTTTAATCACTTTGCAAAAGTTCGAAAAGTATCTGTATCTGACTGAGTTAGTGAATGGCGGATGTAAATAATTGTATATGTGTAAGTGAGTGTGTGCATGAGTGCGTATGTATGGATTTGTGCATTGTAAACCTGCAGTTCGGGGCAGCTATCTCGAATTAGTTTCTTCAACTGATATTTAACACTAAAATACCCCGGGTGCTTCGCTACCCTAATTAAATACATACATACAAAATTTGTATTACTTTTAAATGTAGAAAATTTTAATTGATTACAATTTTTTTAATATTTCTGTTTTTTTATATTCAATATTATCAAAATTTATCACGTGAATAAATTCACATTCAGTAAGGAGCGTGTATTTTTATTTCCATTCGTTTAGCTTCCACACTATGTCATGTGTTCCAGTTCCCTATTATAGACAATCAAAAAGGTACCATTTGAAGAATGGAAAAGTACCAAAGAGTCCCCACTTACAGATTATTATTCACTCAGGACCATGCATGTTCAAATCTATGTTTGTTAAAAAGTACGAAAAAGTTCCATCCTAAATAATCTTCCTCAAGGACTCATACTATAGAACATGCACACAGTATCATTTGAAGAAAGAAAAAGTACCAAAAGTGGAATAAATTCTACCTTTGTGGAAAGTACGAATAAAAAGAGTACCATTTTCGTCTAGGACTAGACTTTTTCGAAAATTAAGTTTACAAAATATTCCGTGTTTAAATCTATATATCAAAGATAAAACTCAAACAATTCAAGTCTGTATTCATTTGTTCCAGAAAAATGTCGCTTTCAAAAAGTACCAAACATTTACCCGAATTTAGTCCTATATAGACCTTAGAACCCGAATTCCAAAATAATATACTAATAGCTTATTTTGTGTGACTAAATTACTGTTTTTAAAATTTTATAAAAATTGGCGCGATTAGTTTGAATAAATTAAATTTCCCGTTTTCCCCTTTTTGTTACTTTTTTTCCCCAGTGAAATATCAAATACTATGATCCAATAAATATTACAGAGTCAGAACGTAATTTAATAGGTATACGTTAATAAGTCGAAAAAGTTTTCTTAATGTGCAAAAAAAGTACCAAAAATACGGTTTTCTCCCTTTTACACCCAAAGCGGGCTGAATTTTAAAAAAAGTACGAAATAGGTGTCTCATTATTTTTGAAGATATATCCAAAATATTTACAAAAAATTTATTAAGTTTATTAGTTATAAAAGTTATAAAGTCACCCCTTAAGAGTACGAATTTCCAAAAAGTACCAGACAGCCATCCGCTCATTTTAAGAGTAGATACAGGTGCATCTTAAATCTAATGCACACACATACTTGACATAAACTAAGTGATAACTATAACCAGGTAATATCATGGCCACGCCCTTTTTATACCGTCCACCATGAGTAAAAATTTCAGACTACCTCTTAAGTAGTTATCTCAGAAACTTCCAAGATATTTCGATGAATTTTGTCACACTTTATTATACCCTACCCCACTTAAGTGTGGAGGGTATATTGGATTTGTGCTGGTGTTTGTAACGCATAGAATTAATGGTTCTATATATACCTTTAAGTATACCAATTGGCTCAGAATCATTCTCTGAGTCGATTAAGCCATGTCCATCTTGTTATCAAACTACAGGTCGCAATTTTGAAGATAATTGGATGAAATTTGGTACACACATTACTTTTGAATCAAGGACGATATTGATCCATTATTTCACCTAGCCCTCATATAACCGTACCCCCTAAATTGGGATTTATAGCTCATTAAATAGGCACAAATCCCTTAACAAAATTTTGTTAGAATCGGTTCATAATTGATCCTAGCCCCCATATATAGCCTCCATAAGAAAATCATTTTTTCATCAAAAATATATCGAAATTAAGGGAAAATTCAACATAAATGCTTTATTATTAAAAATAATAAACATATGGTTGCCTACGCCTACTATACTTTTTTATATGTTTTTTTCTATCAGGGATTAAGTATGTTTAAAATCATAACAATATATTCCCGGAAATTAGTTCATAATAACTCCTTCAAATATATCGGTATCAACACAAAATTTTGCACATGTAAATATTATATGAACACAAATCATACTACCAACGTAGATCTGTGTCGGTTCACATTGGCTCCCATATAAGGCCCACTTCCGAAAATCCCTTAAACACACATATTTCATTTCCAAATAAAGCTATCTTGGTAAAATTCGACACAAATATGTATTGCTTTTATGTCAATCACTCTACGAGTCCATCATTTGTCTTATCTCCGATATAAGGTTCATTTCTGAAAATCATTTAATACCACACAATTCATTATTAAACAAAATTCGAATCGGATCGAACAGATAAATCATTCTATTAACATGTTTTCGAATTGGTTTATTATTGGTAGCTCCGATATACCAATAATATCATAGTTTTAAATATCACTTAAACGACACATATAAAACCACATTCGAAAATTGCTTAATATAAATTTTTCTGGACCTAATCAATAAGGGAGGCTTGGCACCTCCATTATAAATTAAATAACAAAATTCGTTTATCTAATAAACTATTAGAGCTCAAATTCTAAAACTTTCCACGAAAAAGATTAGCGGACTTTTATAAGGCACCTCCCATATTAATTAAATACAAAAATTCATATATCTTGGAAACTGTTAGAGCTAGAATCTTCAAAAATCGTGAGCTTCTTGTTTATATAGATTTTAGGGTAGCAAAGCACACTGGGTATAGAAAAAAAATTTATTTTCATTGCGTTTTAGTTAATAACTTCTGAACTATTCGAGCTAGGATATAGAAGAGAGTTAATGTGCTCTCATACCATGCCCTTTCTTTTAATTTTAACGCGACGCTCTTTGATATATTCGGCTTTAAAATTAAATCAAAACTAGAATGTACATTTAAAATTAAGGGCGATGTAGTTGTGTCAATTAACTTATATTCTTCTGTCTGTCTGTCCGTTCATTCTGACTAATTTGGCATTCGAAAGCAATCGATATCTCTATAGAATTTTCAAAACATTTATTAAAAATTTCGATGGCCTTCGAATGTCAGAATTTGGCGTTTTCAATATATAATCAACCTGTGGCCAAACTCGAGTCTCTTAATGAGATCGATATTTGGGAAAGTAATGTCTAAAAGACATAAATTAACTCCTTGTAAACTTGCGGGAAAGTTAAAATATTTTTCATCTTCATTTGTATGCGTTTTTTACTTTTTTGTTTTTATTTCTCGTTCTTGTGATCAAGACATCTGATGATTTATTTTTAGCAAACTGTTTAACTGTGTAAAAAAAGTGTGTCTGCCAGAAAGAACAGAAACCAAAATAAAACAACTGAAATACGAAAAAAACAAATTTGAAACCATCTGTCATCAGAAATTTGAAAAAAAAAGAAATTGCAAAATATAAATAACAAAACGCAAAAACTACACATGTGTGTTTGGCCCTGTAGATTTTATAAATACATTTTTGAATTTTTTTTTTTTTTTGCCAAATTGCAATTTTTTGTAGGTCATTTTTTTATTGTTTGTTAAGTGTAACAAGAAAAACACATGCATTAGATGCATGAATTGTATTCAAGAAGACTTTAAGGCGCTTTTTGTTGGCAATATTTTGCACATTTGAAAAAAAAATATAAAGATACGTTGTTGTTTAATTGTCAACTTATTTAGATAATAAAGAAAAAAAATTAAGTGAATAGTAAAACCAAATACAATTTTAAAAAAACAAATAATAATAAGAAATAAAAAACTTTACTTGTATTGTTTATAATATAAACACTCAATGTCAACCGTCATCATGTCGAAAACTTCATATAAAACTCAATATTTCAAGCACGGTAAGTAAAAAACTATTAAAAAAAATATTTTATATATTTTTAATTATTTGCTATGGGAAAGATATTATACATTGTTGTGAAGATTTAAGAAATCAAAGTATCGATTACGTCAAATCTTATATAACAACCATTGATATTAAAATGTGCATAAGGACCATTTTCAGAAGAGGGTTATTTTTGGCGGCTTGGACCGAACTCTTCGGCATTCGAAGAAGTGTTTAATTTCTAACCTACTTGGGGAGTAATGACCGTATAAAGTAACTCATTAGAGAGTTAAATTAGGCATGGGGGTAATGATTACACAATGTAATTAATTACAAGGTCAATTATAATTACTTGTAGTGTGTAATTGAAATAATAACCAATCGCAATTACTTGTAATTTAAGTTTTCCCAATTACGATTACTTGTAATGTGTAATCGCAATTACTTGTAATCGCAATTACTTGTAATTTAAGTTTTCCCAATTACGATTACTTGTAATGTGTAATTGACCAATAACCAATTACAATTATTTGTAATTGTAATTTAGGTATTACTAATTACAAATTACATGTAATTATAAAGAACAAAATTCACAATTACAAGTAATTCTAATTGGAAATTGTTCAATTACAAGTAATTGTTATTGGCAAAACTTCAATTACAATTACAGGTAATTGCAATTGTCAAAACTTCAATTACAATTACAAATAACTGTAATTGGCAAAACTTCAATTACAATTACAAGTCTGAGTTAAATACAATTACTTGTAATGTTTAATTTATCAATTCTTACAGGCTTGGGTTTAATTTAGTAGTTACCAATTACTATTACATACATATAATTTTACTCTTTAAGCGCACACATTTATATGTTATGCTTTATGTTTTTAATTTCCGAAATTTTAAATTTATAAAAATTTAACTCACAATTTCCTTGGTTCCGATATATTTAAACAAATTTTCTGAGAAAGGCTTTATACATTTGTATATGTTTGGGGGCTAGGTAAAATAAAGGATGGACTTTAACCATTTTTAAAAGGTTTTGTCATTGGATCAAAAAGCATACGTGCTTATTGTTTTTAAAATTTCAACCTCTACCAGACGGTCAGACGACTTACATGGCTTAATCGATTCAGAAAATGATTCTTAACAGATTAGTATACTCAAACGCAGTATAGTGGAGTAGGGTAAAAAAATAAGTTCCGTGGTATTAAGATAAACAGAAATGCTAAAAATTATTTCAAAATTTTTGTAAATTTAGCAATATGTAATGTCTCTAATTTTAAAATATTTCTGAATGCAAAAATTACATTAAAACTCTATTAATTACACTAGTTGCTCATGATATAAAACCTATATGTGTTTTCGGAAGGAAAAGTATAATATTTCTAGTTTTACTTTTTTTTATATAAACAATTTTATTTGTCTTCCTCAAAACACTTTAAAAATGGTTTTCATGTCACAAAAATATTGAAAATTCCGTTGAATTAATTTTAAATCTCGGTGAATAGATGTCAGGTTTATAACTCATACTTCCAATATTTTTTCGGAAAAATATATATGAGAATGTATGAAATGAATTGACAGATATATTCAAATCCGTAAGTTTGTAATTCTGGAATAAATTGTCAATAATATTTTCGAAATTTATGTATTTTTTTTTTATGAAAAAAAACGTGACAGCAAAATTACTAAATATTTGGTAAAAATAAAAAGAACAGAAAGTAGGATGAGAAAGTCTTAATTATATATTATTGATTTTTTCAATACTTATTTTCAATAAATTAACAAGAACTCCTAAAGGATGATAAAAATTAAAACCTCTTTATTTCGTATAGGAAAAATAAAATTTGTTAATTAACCGTCATACATAGCCTTTTCCAAAATTATATGTTTCATTCCATGAGCAAACAAAAAGTATTAGTTTGTAAAATAGCGTACTGAACGTATTTGTAAAAATATATGAAATCTCTTGAATTATTTCTATCACCTCGAATTTAAAAAAGCATTGAGTTCCAGAAAAATATTTTAGAATACAACATTTTAAAGTATTCACTTGTATTGGCGTAATTTTAAGTTATTTATCTTCATGAATCTTTTTGCATTATTTTGAATTACTATGTAAATTATTACATTTCTCATATGTGTTGTTGCTTGTGTTTGGGTAGATATTTAATTCTGATTTTTTCCGGTTAAACCTATTTTCAATATAAATATTTTTTGCAAAAAATTTGTCTTTTTTATTTATATACTAAAATTGCAAAAAAGCTAAAAATGCTAAAATTATTTTATAAAAATGCTAAATAAAATGCCAAATGCTAAATTAAAATTTTACAGCTAAATCAAAATAAAAAATGCTAAATCTTGCTAAATTTTGTCATTCCGTTTGTAACACATCGAAATTTTGGCTTAATAATATTTATATAGCGACGAAATAACTTTAAAAAGGTCTTGTAGCCACCAAAATCTCTCTACTAAGTTTTATTGGGGTCGGTGCATAAGAGACCATATCACCCACATAAAGTCCCCTTTAGAAAATGCTTTAACGCTTATAATTAGACTTACAATACCCGCATAGTTATGAAATTAGACAAAAACTAGGGACCAAAATATATCTACTAAATGTTATGAGTATCGGTCCATAGTGATCCTGAGTATGGACCTATATAAGGTCTTCCTCAGAAAATGTTTTTAACACTCATAACTGACTTAAAATTATAAGTATAGCAACGAAATTTGACATAAATAAGTTCGTAATTGATCCTATCCCCCTATAAGTACCCTTCATAAAATATCTTTAATGAACATAATTAGTTTAAAATTATTATGACATTAGGCAAAACAAGTTTTATAAAAACTAAAATATCTCTACCTAATTTTATTATAATTGGTCCACATATCAGGTCACCTTTAGAAAATAATTTTATGGAACCTTTAAAATTGAGCTTTTGTCTAAAAAATCATTGCAGAATAATCTTGAAGTACTAAATTATAATACATCTGAAATATTTACCAAGATATAATAATATCCGAAATATTTACCAAGATATAAGCATTCAAAATTAATATGCCGCTTCAGAAATATTACAAGAAAATTATTTTATTTTTAAAGTAGCAACTTTGAGCACCTATATTTCGGGTTAAAGGAACTCTGCAATATTTTTAGTTATTTTTCTATAGTATATGGAATGTTTACTGTTAACTATAATAACAAGCAAGACAATTGGAAAGCGTTTAATTTTTTATTTTTGTCGTTCTAAAAGTACCAAATGTCTCACTGTGCACCGTTTCATTATTCCAAGAGGCCTTATGGGATTCTCTCACCCATATTTTTATACCCTACACCACTTTAGTGGGGAGGGTATATTGGATTTGTGCTGATGTTTGTAACGCACAATAATATTGATCCTATACCCACCTTTAAGTATACCAATCGGCTTAGAATCATTTTCGACTTAGCTATGTCCGTCCGTCTATATAAACCTTGTAATCAAACTACATGTCGCAATTTTGAAGATAATTCAATGAAATTTGGCACATGGTATTCTATTATCCCAGGGACGAAGCCTATTAAAAATGGTTAATATCGGTCCATTATTTCACGTAGCCCCCATACAACTGAACCCCCGAATAGGGCTTATAAACCTTGTAATCAAACTACAAGTCGCAATTTTGAAGATAATTCAATGAAATTTGGCAGATGATCTTCTATGGTACCGGAGACGAAGCCTATTGAAAATGGTTAACATCGGTCCATTATTTCACCTAGACCCCATACAACTGAACCCGACGAATAGGGATTTTAAGTTTATAATTATGTTTAATATACTCGTATCTCGACAAAAAGCTGCAAAACCAAGTTCTATACTAGCCTTGATGTCTCTCATGAATTTTACAATTATAGGGTCTCATTTGACCATTGTCCCTATACAAATCCCCCTTCAAAATTTTACTTAAATGTCCACAATTTTATTCAACAATAAATGGCTTAAGTATAATTCAAGGCAAGGTTTTTGTAACAGGTGTAGGGTATTATATGGTCGGCCTCGCCCGACTATAATTTCTTACTTGTTAATTCAGCTTTTGTTGCGTCGAATGGTTTTGCGTTTGTCAGGTTAACTACCTCGATCTCCCTTCCCTTTAAAGCTATTATATTCGCCCTTTCGTTGCCGACTACTCCCGAGTGGCCTGGTAACCATACCTCTGGGAGAATATTCGGTTAAAGCTTTCTTACAATCCATTACGGTCTTATATTTAATTCTATCACCTGATATCGCCCTAATTGCTGTGATCGTCATATTTATTCTAATCCAATTTACACATTCTGTTATTCCTCGGACTTCTGCCCGGAAGCTTGTGTTATGATTAGGTAAACGGTGATATATTTCTATTCCTGGATATTCAATATAGAACCCCTGGCCCTCAATTTAGAGCCATCCGTGTAAAAACGGATTTCTACTGGTATTTGCTCTAGTTTTCCGCTTAACCAAGACATTCTATCTGGGATCAGCTTTTCAAAGTTTTCGACATATTCTGTGTCTGGTAAACATGCACGCCCGATGTTATCCTTTAGTTTTAAATACTAAGGAAACATAATCACTAACTAGTTCTGGCAACATTAAATTAGTGACAATAAAATACAACAAAACAAGAAATATTATTAGAAAATATCTGATTTTTAAAATCTATGAACCCAACTCAATATAAAATATTCACATTCTTTAAACTCTCAATCGCACACAAATCTAGTATAAATAATGATTGTTTTGTTTTTTAAGTTTCGTATTTCGCGATTGTTTTTATTCAACTTTTTATTTCTCTTCTATTTGACTGCAATTGTTCATGTGTGAGTAACCGTTTTTGTAGACGATTTTTTTTATGAATGAATTTAAATATTCATTGATTTGTTTTTGTACAATAGTATTTATTCAAACATGTTATTTCAACTTTATTCAATGATGCTGTTTGGTTTATTTCTCTTTTGATTATTTTGTTTTGATTTTATTTTTCTTCTTT